ATTACTGAACTATTTCATCTCTGTGAGTAAAGTTTCGCTTTCATTTTTTTTCAAGTTACAAGTTCATTTCTTTAAGTTTGTGGAACTTTCAGAAGTTTGCGCCCTGTGATCGATCGCGTTATGGAGGAACTCACGTGGAGCAGCAGCAGCAGAGACCAGACGCAGACACACCGAGGAGCTTCACACCTCAACATCTTGATCCTCCTGCGGGTCCTCCACCCTGCTCCTCCGCCCGCGGGAGGCGTGGATCTCCTCTGGGAGAACACGGGTCGATGGAGGATGTTTGTCTGTATTTATATCCGTGACGTGTTGGCGGTCCGCGCTGAGCAGCTTCACCGAGCAGCAGCAGAACAAACTGCTTCAGAGGTGATTGTCCCCGAACTCGGTGCTCTCAGTGCGTCCTCCCTTCAGGCGGAGCTCCTCCACCCGTCTGTCTCTCTTCCTGTCTGTCTGTCTGACGGAGGGGGGGCTCTGAGGAGAAGACCAGACCAGAAGCTATAAATAGAGAGTCTCACCTGGGCCATGAAGAGCCCTCTTCTTCTTCTACTTTATGATTAATAACCTTAAAAGTATTATTAAGTATTACTTGTTACGGTTAAACTAAGATTTTAGTCATTGATGTGAGAATGAAACCGTTAATCAACTAAATGTAACTTTTAGCCTCTTTCAGCTCATAGTTGTAGGTATGAAGATGATTTATTTCTCATTCAGACAAAGAAAGATATTGAATTAACGGTGCAAGGTTACTGAAATAAAGCGCTTCATAATAATAACTGATAACAGGTAATAAAGCTAAATAAGATGCTTATTTGTTTCAATTAAAACAAGAGTCAAAGTGTAAATTCATCTTAATAAACAACGTTACATAATAGTGAAGTCGGGTAAACTCATTATTAATTAATAAGTTATTAATGTTATTAAATGTGTTTATAATGTAACTATTAATGAACATGTGATCCCATCATACAAAGAACGTTAGACGTTAGCAAAGACAACGGTGTTCATTATTTAGTTTAAGTTAAAAGTCAAAGTGGTTTGTTGCAGTTGGTCGAGCGACTTTTAGTGACCACACCTCCTTCCTTCCTGCCCCCCCCCCTCTCTCTCTGCCCCCCCCCTCTCTTTGCCTCTCTCACAGGTCGCATGGCGAGTAGAAGAGGTCACAGCACGACTGGTGGTTCGTGTCCCGACTGCTACGCTCACAACCCCGAACACAAAAACCTCGTTGCTTCTTCAACATTTCCACAGAAGTTTGTGTTTTTTCAGGACGGCAGATTGTTCAGAAAGGAGATTAATGTCGCCCGATCAGCAGCAGACTCGTGCTGCTCGACAGGCAGGACGACGTCATCGGACGCCATCGACTGTGATTGGCCGGTTCATGCGTGAGGGGGATTGGTTGGTGAGTGAACCAATCAGAGGCACCGAAGCGGAGCAGGGCGGGTCAGACTGGACGGTGCGAGGGTCAACGGTTAGCCGTAGCCACAGTTAGCCACGTGCTTGGGTTAGCCACGGGTTACCATCTCCAAAAGAGCTACAATGCTACACAAGCTAACATAAAGCCTAGCATCCCCTCGGGCTCCATCAGCCTCCACCTGGTGGAGGTACGCGGTACTACGTAGGAGCTCCGTCACTCGAGATCCATCCTGAGTCGAGTGATGACAAACGTCTCCTGATTGTTTCACAAGCAGAGGAATAAAGAAGAGACACTTTGGAACACGGAGAAAGGAGAGTTGGTTTATTGTGTCTGGTGGGACTTTACCACGTAGTGAGCGATGTTAGAGCAGCTTATTCATATCGACAACAAGTCAACACGGCAGCAAGTGACAGAAGACAATTGTCTTTTTTTATTCTAAAATACACCGTTTTATTTGTTGAGTTCACGACAAACGGCGGCTAGTTGCTAAACATGTAAAAACAGTATAAAAATAAAGTTATTACTTTGATACACAAAAAAAATAACTTGGTGACCAAGATAATATTTTACAACCGCATGGATGAGATGATTGTAAATGACTTCACTTTTATTGTTTCTGAGCAAAGCAGAACATCAAATTACTCAAGAAGTTTAACTACAACGCAGAGACAAAAGAAAATATCGTGATACATAAATACACTATATACTTCAGCAGGATTCAGCCTATTAATGAATTAAATGTATAACCGGTGACTGAACCAGCTTGTTAGGTTTCCATTTCTTAATGGATTTGATATATATATATATATATATATATATATATATATATATATATATATATATATATATATATATATTAGTGATCTTTATAGCGTTAGCATGATGGCGGCGGCGTTACGTCCGTGTACATACATTACTTTGTTACAATTGTCAAAATACATTACTCTTAAATTTACACTTCAGACTCAAAGCTTTCTGGGAGACTTCTAAGTTGTTATAAAACACATTGTTAGATAAGAACGGTTCAGAAGTTCAACACTGACATTTAATCGGCTTAAACTAAATATCGCATTAGCATAGCAGGCTAAAGATAACTTAGCGTTACCATAGATTATTTACCATCAAGCACATGGAATAACAGTGAACTACTAAACTACAGTCAGCCTCACTAGAGATTGCTGTACTACGGAAGCTAGCTTAGCTGCTTAGCTTAGCACTAGCTGCTTTATCACATTGGTTCGTTAGCGTTAAGCTCCTCATCCGCAGCCGGAGGTTTGTGACCTCGGCTCTCCGTAAGTTGCCCAAAAAAAACAAAGTAGATTCATCAAGAGGCGCTAAAGGCTACGCTAAATGCTATGCTAAGCGTGTTGGCTTCCATCTGCTAGTAAACGACAGCAGGAGAAGAAGTAGAATTTTCTCGCAGAGGCGACTGGAGAAAGTGACATTTCTGTGCAAATGAGGGATTTAGGGAGTTTCCGCCTGGAAGCCTTTCAAATATTTGAAGCGTGAACCTAAAATAATTTCATAGAATCACAGCTGGTGTCAGAAGTTAGCGTTCACACGTCTGTTTTAAGTTTACGTTTTAAAGGACGTTCTGTTAGTTGAGAAAATGAAAATAATGAATGAAGATTCGGCGACTACGGAGAGCGGACGTCACGACAGCAGCGAGGCTCAAACGTTTCCAGATGAAAACACCACAAAATCAGTTTATATCCTACAAGACACAGAATCACGACACGCCAGCAGCCTCAGGCCGGCGATCTCTACGAGGTAAACAGAAGAACTCGATCCGGGCCAAGCAAGTCCTCCGAGCTCGGCGCCACCGACAGAAGAAGAAGAAACAACGCACGCGTTCCACCTTTAGAAATGGCTTCTTGCCTTCCACAGGCTCCGCCCACAGCCGTCCTCATTGGCTGTCTATCGTGCTCAAAGATCCTCCCCCAGGGAATTCCCTAATATCGAAGACTTTGCTGCGTGAGCGCGTTCAAGTCGACGCCTCCTCATTGGCCGGTTTCTGCTGAGAGGCGGGACTCGTACAGACTGAGGGCGAGATGGACGAACTCGTACTGCTCACCTGTCTGGATCATCCCACCTCTGTGAAGACAAGACAAGAGGATCAGGACTACACAGAGACCGGTTCACATGGAGGATCAGGACTATACAGAGACTGGTTCACGTGGAGGATCAGGACTACACAGAGACCGGTTCACATGGAGGATCAGGACTCACAGAGACCGGTTCACATGGAGGATCAGGACTATACAGAGACCGGTTCACATGGAGGATCAGGACTATACAGAGACTGGTTCACGTGGAGGATCAGGACTACACAGAGACCGGTTCACATGGAGGATCAGGACTACACAGAGACCGGTTCACATGGAGGATCAGGACTATACAAAGACCGGTTCACATGGAGGATCAGGACTCACAGAAACTGGTTCACATGGAGGATCAGGACTACACAGAGACCGGTTCACATGGAGGATCAGGACTCACAGAGACCGGTTCACATGGAGGATCAGGACTATACAAAGACCGGTTCACATGGAGGATCAGGACTACACAGAGACCGGTTCACATGGAGGATCAGGACTCACAGAGACTGGTTCACATGGAGGATCAGGACTCACCTGTCTGCTCGGAGCTGGCAGGTGATGCTCAGCACGTCCACCCCTCCCTCCCTCTGCAGCTGCTGGCAGCCTATCGTCGTGGCAATGAAGCAGCCCGTCCGGCCAATCCCGGCGCTGCAAGCAGAGGATTGTGGGTAATGGTGTTATTTGACATGGTTACCCGGGGCAGCCCCCCCCCCCCCTCTCTACCTGCAGTGGACGATCACCGGCCCCGCGGCCCGTCGCTCCGCCTCCACGTCGGACATCAGCTGCAGCAGCGGCGTGGTGGCGTCGGGGGTTTTGTGGTCGGGCCACGACGTGTACCAGTAGTGCTGCATGGCGCGCGTTTGATTCCCGCACTGCGACACAAGAACACGCGTCAAACCCGCCCGCCCCCCCGGCGAACAACACGGGGGCAGACGAGCGGTACCTTGAGGGCGAGGCTGCGGGTGGTGTAGTGGTCACACTCCCTGAGGCCGGTGACCAGCACCTCCACCTTCCCGTAGACGCCCCTCTTCTCAGGCCAGTACAAGACGCACTTCTGCATTCACGTCAGTTAGAAAACTCAAATATAAGATCACAACGGAGCACATTTCATTCACCTTTACAGAAGTAAATAATCGCCTCCCCCGAGTCACCTGACTTGACCTCTCGGGATCTGAGCCCGCCCCCTCCCCGATGGGAGGAGCCGGCGGTGACTGATGCACCCTGGGAGGATTACCTCGTTCTTCTCCTTCAGTTTGGTGATCATGACGACGACGGGCGCCTCCTCCTGCCAGGCCATCTGCCAGAAGTCGTTCACCGTGTTCACCATGGGACCCTGCGTGGCGATGAAGGCCTTCTCGTGGCCCAGGTAACCCTGCGGGGGGCGAGGAGCCGGTCACACCGTACCAGGTACTCGTAGTACTGCGCTCACGCGACATGAAGGAGCGTCTGTCTCACCCGGATGTAGTTGGCGTTGATGTACGAGCTCAGCGGGTCGTTGCAGCTCTTTGACTTGAGGATCACTCTGGAATGAGGATCTGGAAGAGATGAAAGACTTCATGTGGTTCTGATGCGACTCCTGACCCGGCAGCGCTGTGGGCAGGACCCGGTACCGACACAGAGAGTCAAACAGGAACGAGTTTGATTGACAGCAGCTTTAGGTGGAAGGAAGGAAGGAAGGAAGGAAGGAAGTCTCCCCCCACTCAGTGTTATATTGATAACCCCCCTTCAGAGACATAAGTACACAATGTCTTCAGCTAACTGTGAGAACAAGCTGCTCTGAGGGAAATGGATTGTTCTAGTGTGTGTGTGTGTGTGTGTGTGTGTACGCTATTAGCTCGTCCTCGGCCCTTTGACCTTCGGCCCCTCCCACATAATAAAACAACTTCCTGGTTCAACAGGAAATGATCGCCGCGCACGCACAGTACTCACTGGGCAGTATGGTCTTGTATCTGTTCTTGGTCCCGTGATTTGGAACATCGAGCTCCTTGGGATCAATGAAATTCATGGGAATTTCCTGCGGTGAAAGAACTGTGTCAGTCGCAGTACTTTTGGGATTTGCAGTCAGTAAAACTTGTAGTAAAACTACTGAGTCCAGGTTACTCCGTCTATACGGATATCAAATCCCATCTGCTTTTATTGCATTCCATGTTTTACATTAGTGTCCCAACGCTGCTGCAGAGACTCTCCTCTCAACTCTGTCCTCCTCTCTAGACTCTCTGTCCTCTCCGTGTCGGTCTGAACCGGTGCCATGAGAGCCGCCATGCGAGAATCAGAACGCTGCTCTGTTATCTGGCTGTTTTCTCTAACGCACCTACCGGGTAACCTGGAGAGGATCTGTGTCTGAACCTTGTCCTCTTACTGCTGGAGTTCCTCAGGGTTCCGTCCTGGGTCTCCTCCTCTTCTCGCTCTACACCAACTCTCTTCTCTTCGTCATTCGCTCGCATGGCTTCTCCTACCACAGCGATGCTGATGACACACAACTAGTTCTCTCCTTCCCTCCCTCTGATCTCTGACTGACATCTCTCAGTGGATCCGCCCACCATCTGAAGATCAACCCCAACAAGACGGAACTACTTCTCTTTCTGGGGAAAGATTCTCCGACACAGGATGTTAACGCCCACTTTGACAGCAGGAACCTCGGCGTGACGTCGACAGCCGACTCTCCCTGACTCCCAACATCACTGCAGGATCCTGTAGATACTCGCTCTACTACATCAGGAGAACACGTCCTCTTCTCACTCAGAAGGCTTACATCCAGGACCTGGTCCAACCCGACATCCCGACCCGCACTCTCCGCTCTGCATGTGATAAACTGCTTGTTCCTCCTCACTGAGAGAAAAACACTCGACTAGATCTCCACTCTTTGCTGTCCTGCTCCTAAATGGTGGAAGGAGGTCTGTGAAGACATCAGGACCACAGAGAGCCTTCACATCCGGGCTGTCACGTTGCACTTGTCTGTTTGTGTCCTTCTGGTTGAAATGCACTTATTTTAAGTTGCTTTGGATAAAAGCATCAGCTGAATGACATGTGATGTAATGGTTAGCAATAGTTGCTAATGCTAACAGCCACTGACGCCGCCGCCCCTCCTCTGCGATTTGATCAAACGGAACTCACGGCGAACTCGGCGTGCAGCCGGTGCGCGTTGCCGACCGCGTCGCGGAGCTGCTGCCGCGTCAGAGGCCGACCGGCCGCCAGCAAGTACTCCCTGGCCACCGCCTCCCGGGGCGTCACCACGGCAACGGCGCTGAGGGGCTCCACGGAGCCGAGGGCCGACATGTCCAACACCAGGGACACGTTAGAGCCTCGCCTGGGGGGGACAGGGACGAAGGACTAACGATTAATGAGATGAAAACGAGCGATAATTAAAATAAGATTTACAAAATCTAAATGAGTGAAGGTTTATTTTTAAGGGGACTTATTACTGGCGTGTCCACCAACCCCAAGACTCAACTCCCGTGATCTGCTTTGGTTCTTCTACGTCAGAAGCTTCATGCGGAGCGCAACGGGAGCTGGCTCATTAGGGTCAAAGGTCACTCTGTGGACGGCTGTTTCAGAGGGTAAACAGTGATGCCGGCAGTATTTCATTAAGACCCCCAAGGAACCACATCAACTCGTGGTACCATGGGTCCTTTAAAAGAACATCAATCAGTAAATTGATAAATTCTTTGGAGTAGATTTAGTGAACACATTTTTTTTACCATTCCATCTAAATACAAACAAATTGTTTTAATTTTAAATCGAATAATGAAATAGTTGCAATTAAGAGGGGATTTTTTAATCAATCCCAATAAAGTGAATGGAATGTTTCTCATTTAAATGAAACATCAGTAAAGAACTGCAGTTTGTGTTTGAGTACGAGCGGACTCTTCGTCTGGCTACTTGTCGGCCGGCTTCCTGTCCGGGACGCCGCTACTTCCTGTTCGTCTGATTGCTGATTGGCCGCCTTCCAGGGCGGAGAACACACACACACACACACGCAGAAAAACATCCTGTTCTCACTGAGAGTCTGAGATCTTCTCCCTTTCTCAGCGCTCCTCTGAAGGCCGAGCGGACCAAACAAAACGCCGCTCGAGTCGATAAAGTCGTGTTTTCTTTTCTGTGCGAGAGGCAACGTGAGGAAGGAGCTGTGAAAACACCCTGAATGTCTCGTTTTCCTTTATTTCCCCGACAGTGTGAGACGTCTCATCATCAGGAGCGAGTTCTTATCATCTCCCTCCAACTGACGGGTCATCAGAGGGGTCAAAGGTCAGGTTGATTCACGGAAACTAATTCCTGTCATCCAATGAGACGAAACAGAATAATGTCCAGAAATATGGCAGGAATATTATTCACATTAAGACGACATGTAATCATATTTACTCTGATGATTTCTGAGGTGAAATTGTGGCAAAATAAATCCTACTAGAATTTTTATGAAACTAAATGAACTACTAATAATAATCATGATAATTTTAAGATCTGAGCAATACCCTAAAGTCGCGTTTTGACCTTTTCTTTGTGAGATTATGAGCAGCGACTCAAAGGTCCGATGGACATGGAGCACTCCAACAATCAGGAGGTCAGAGGTCGCCGCTCTAGAAACACAATTCCAACCCTAAACATGGGCGACAATCGGCGGCTCCTCAGGTGTGTCGGGACATTAAAAAAGGTGAATTATTAATACTTCTGTTTGTGTCTTTATTTGTTGCACAGGACGACGTTCTCACGGCAGCATTTACTCCAAAGTATGAAGAGGAATCAGACATTTGTTGCTCTTTATATTAAAGCTGGGACTCTGGCATGTAGACGTAGAGGTACTTCAATATTTCCATTTCTTCCATGTGACATGATTGAATGGAATTTTTAAGGAAGTATTTTTTTTTGTTAATTTGATCATTGCAATTCATTTTTTTTGCAGACGTATAATATAATAATTACTACTATCACCTCTCTTGCAGTCCCGCCGCAGGCTTCATCCTGAAGGGGGAGGGGCAGGGCTTCAGCTCGTTGGGGGGCGTCACCGCGGCAACGCTGGCCTGGGAGGCGTGGTCGCTGCTTGCGGAGAAAGGGGCGGAGCTAGAAGGAGACAGGTGTGAGGTTGGTTTATGAATATAAGGTGCAGGAGGGGAACCCGTCTGTCAGCTGACTCACCGGGGCAGCGGGGTGACGGGAGGCGGGGCTAGCCGCCGGCAGGCTACAATAGGCTGCTGCTGCAGGCGAATGGGCGTGGCTACCAATGGAGGGAGCTCGGCCTGGACCATGCTTCCTGACGTCACGACCTGGAGGAGAGACGACCGGATACTGAGCCGCCATGATGGATAAATAACCTCATGGTGAATTAAACCGATATCGATCGATGCAGCGACAAAAACGACAGGCTGTGTGGATAAATATTATTTCTGTGAAGTAAACGTCGGTCCCTCCCACGTGGGATTACAAGAGCCCTTTGATTTAAGCATAAAATAATCCAACATAATAAAAAATATCACAAATAGATTGAATTGTCTTGGTAAAGATCAGAGACTGTTAGAAGAGTTGATATATTTATTAACCGCAGACGGACGAACACACGCACACTTGTGGGCAGACCTTGGTGCCCTTTGACCTTTGGGCGTAGTCTTGGAGGGCGTTCGGGGTCAGGTGGAGGTCAGGGGGCGGAGCTTTCAGCTGTGTCTCAGAAACCTGGACCTTCTCTTTGAGTCGGTACAAAACCTGGAGATCAGACACGACAAAAGACCTTTAAACTTTAACGTTATCCAGTAATGAATGAAACATTTTTAAACGATATTTGTTTATTTCTTCTCTGCACCTTAGTTAATGTTTCATTTAGTTTTTATCTGCTGTTTCTCCATGAACAGAATATTTAAGAGTGATGAGGCAACATGTATTTCATCTCCTGACATCAGGAAGACGAACCACTGAGCTGTAAGATGGACCCTGAGTAGTGGCTCCCTCTGGTGGACCAAATGTCCCACTGCAGAAAATAAAACACTTATCATATTATATTTATATTTCCAATAAACCTTTCTTTATTTCTTATGTGTATGTGAATAAATGCGTTGTGCGTGCGTGTGTGTGTGCGTGCGTGCGTGTGTGTGTCTGTGGCCCTTCCCAGTTCGCTGGGTTCGTGTGCGTATGTTAGTGCGCCAAAGTGTGAGACTGTGTTTTACCATCAAGCAGGTGACGACGATGACGAAGACGGTGAAGAAGAGGACGACGGTGTAGAATCCTTCCCTGGTCCACACGTGGTCCCTCTGCTCGCCCTGCAGGACGTTCTTCTACAGGAGACAGGGAGAAAGACGTTGTGTCCTTGAGCCTCATCTTTAAATCTCAGGTTGGTAGTTTCACCTCCACCTGTGGCCGCGCTGACGGATGGTCTCTGACTCCATGTGTGACATCAACATGTACTCTGTCGTATATGTCCTATATGTGTGTTTATAGTCGCTGCTGGAGGACTTTGGTGTAATCATGTACTGATCGATGGGACCTTGACTGCTCCATTAAACCTGAT